GCCCCTCCCAAATTTTACTTGCATTCCTGTTCTCTAAAGGGGTGGTCCTAGGGTTTGATGGGGGCGTGGCCAGGTTTGGGTGGGGGAGTTCCACCACCTTTCCTCTGAGAAAAAAAGCCCTGTATATATATATATATATACAGTGGCTATAAAAACTCTACACACCCCTGTTAAAATGTCAGGTTTCTGTAATGTAAAAAAAATAAGACAAAGATAAATAATTTCAGAACTTTTCTTCCTTTAATGCGACCTATAAACTGTACAACTCAATTGAAAAACAAACTGAAATCTTTTAAGGGGGAAGTAAACAAAAAACTAAAAAAAATGTGGTTGCATAAGTGTGCACACCCTCTTATAACTGGGGATGTAGCTGTGTTCAGAATTAAGCAATCACATTCAAAATCATGTTAAATAGGAGTCAGTAAACTCAGCTGAGCAGCAAACTGAAATCTTTTAGGTGGAGGGAAGTAAACATAAAAAACTAAAATAATATGTTTGCATAAATGTGCACACCCTTAAACTAATCCTTTGTTGCAGCCCCTTTTGATGTGATTCCAGCACTCAGTCTTTTTGGGGAGGAGTCTATCAGCATGGCACATCTTGACTTGGCAATATTTGCCCGCTCTTCCTTGAGAAATACTCCAAATCTGTCAGATTGCGAGGACATCTCCTGTGCACAGCCCTCTTCAGATCACCCCACAGATTTTCTATCGGATTCAGGTCTGGACTCTGGATGGGCCATTCCCAAAACTTTCATTTTCTTCTGGTGAAGCCATTCCTTTGTTGATTTGGATGTATGCTTTGGGTCGTTGTCATGCTGAGAGATGAAGTTCCTCTTCATGTTCAGCTTTCTAGCAGAAGCCTGAAGGTTTTGTGCCAATATTGACTGGTATTTGGAACTGTATAATTCCCTCTACCTTGACTAAGGCCCCAGTTCCAGCTGAAGAAAAACATCCCCAAAGCATGATACTGTCGCCACCACCATGCTTCATGGTCGGTATGGTGTTCTTTTGGTGATGTGCAGTGTTGTTTTTGCGTCAAACATATCTTTTGGAATTATGGCCAAAATGTTCATCCTTGGTTTCATCAGACCAGAACACATTTTCCCACATGCTTTTTGTTAGACTTCAGATGTGTTTTTGCAAAACCAGTGCTCTTCTCGGCTTTTCAACAATTTTGGACGACCGTCCAGTTCTTGATGATGTCACTGTTGGGCCATATTTTCTCCACTTGATGATGACTGTCTTCACTGTGTTCCATGGTATATCTAATGCCTTGGAAATTCTTTTGTAACCTTCTCCTGACTGATACCTTTTAACAATGAGATCCCTCTGATGCTGTGGAAGCTCTCTGCGGACCATGACTTTTCCTGTAGGATGCGACTAAGAAAATGTCAGGCAAGACCTACTAGAACAGCTGAACTTTATTTGGGGTCAATCACAGGCACTTTAAATGATGGCAGGTGTGTACTGACTCCTATTTAACGTGATTTTGAATGTGATTGCTTAATTCTGAACACAGCTACATCCCCAGTTATAAGAGGGTGTGCACACTTATGCAACCACATTATTTTAGTTTTTTATGTTTATTTCTCCCCCTACAAGATTTCAGTTTGATTTTTCAATTGAGTTGTACAGTTTATAGGTCACATTAAAGGTGGAAAAAGTTCTGAAATGATTTATCTTTGTAAAAATTCTTTTGCATCACAGAAACCTGACATTTTAACAGGGGTGTGTAGACTTTTATATCCACTGTATATATATATATATATATATATATATAGATACTGTATATGTGTTGGTATAAGGCAGGGGTGGGAAACCTGCAGCTCTCCAGCTATTGTGGAACTACATTTCCAATGAGGCATTCCAAAGACCGAAAGTTACAAGCATGACTCTACAGGTAACATGAGACATTACAAAACTGACAGTTACAGCCAGGGGTGGACTGACAACTCATGGGGCGCCCGGGCAATAGGGGATCATAGGGCCCCTGTGTCCTCATCCACACCCAAAAAAGCCTATGAAAAAGCCAATGAAAGGTACCAGGGGCATCTCATGGGGCCCCCTACTGACCCCGGGCCCCTCGGGCACTGCCCGAGTGCTTGAATGGTCATTCTGCCCCTGGTTACAGCTATGACTTGCAGAGGCATGATGGAACTTGTAGTCCTGCAACAGCTGGAGAGCCGCAGGTTGCCCACCCCTGGTATAAGGCCACATGCACACTGGGTGTTTTTACAGCAGCTGTTTTTGGTTTGTGGCATTTTTTTCTACAGCCAGTAAACTCCCCATCATGTTATCAAATGTGTCCATATATAATCAGCATTTTTTGGCAGTGGCGATTTCTGGCCGGAAAAAACTCTGTCGCTGGTAAACACAGTAAAATGCAACACATTGGCATTTTTGAGCCAAATTTTTTTTGTGCTAAAAAACGCTAACACAGCAAAACACGGCTAACCACTAATGCAAAAACGCTAAAAAACGCAGAAAAACTTGCATTTTTAACTCCAATGTATACAGCTGACACTACCAATGTCCAATGTGCATGAGGCCTTATACAGTCATGGCCGAAATTGTTGGCACCCTTGATATTTTTCCTGAAAATCAAGTATTTCACACAAAAAAGGTATTGCATTAACACATGTTTTGCTATACACATGTTTATTCCCTTTGTATGTATTGGAACAAATATAAAACAGAGGCAGAAAAGCAAATATGACATAATGTCACACAAAACCCCAAAAATGGGCTGGACAAAAGTATTGGCACCCTTAACTTAATATTTGGTTGCACACCCTTTGGAAAACATAACTGAAATCAGTCGCTTCCTATAACCATCAATAAGCTTCTGACACCTCTCACCCGGAATTTTGGACCACTCTTCCTTTGCAAACAGCTCCAGGTCTCTCTTATTGGAAGGACACCTTTTCCCAACAGCAATTTTAAGATCTCTCCACAGGTGTTCAATGGGATTTAGATCTGGGCTCATTGCTGGCCACTTCAGAACTCTCCAGCGCTTCTTTGCCATCCATTTCTGAGTGCTTTTTGACGTATGTTTGGGGTCATTGTCCTGCTGGAAGACCCAGGATCTTGGACGCAAACCCAGCTTTCTGACACTGGGCCCTACAGTGCGACCCAAAATCCTTTGGTAATCCTCAGATTTCATGATGCCTTGCACACAGTCAAGGCACCCAGTGCCAGAGGCAGCAAAACAACCCCAAAACATCATTGAACCTCCACCATATTTTACCGTAGGTACTGTGTTTTGTTCTTTGTAGGCCTCATTCCGTTTTCGGTAAACAGTAGAATGATGTGCTTTACCGAAAAGCTCTATCTTGGTCTCATCTGTCCACAAGACGTTTTCCCAGAAGGCTTTTGGCTTACTCAAGTACATTTTGGCAAACTGTAGTCTTGCTTTTTTATGTCTCTGTGTCAGCAGTGGGGTCCTCCTGGGTCTCCTGCCATAGCGTTTCATTTCATTTAAATGTCGACGGATAGTTCGCGCTGACACTGATGCTCCCTGAGCCTGCAGGACAGCTTGAATGTCTTTGGAACATGTTTGGGGCTGCTTATCCACCATCCGGACTATTCTGCGTTGCAATCTTTCATCAATTTTCCTCATCCGTCCACGACCAGGGAGATTAGCTACAGTGCCATGGGTTGCAAACTTCTTGATAATGTTGCGCACTGTGGACAAAGGCAAATCTAGTTCTCTGGAGATGGACTTGTAACCTTGAGATTGTTGATATTTTGCCACAATTTTGGTTCTCAGGTCCTCAGACAGTTCTCGTCTCCTCTTTCTGTTGTCCATGCTTAGTGTGGCACAGACAGACACACAATGCAAAGGTTAAGTGAACGTCTCTCCTTTTTATCTGCTTTCAGGTGTGATTTCTATATTGCCCACACCTGTTACTTGCCCCAGGTGAGTTTACAGGAGCATCACATGCTTGTAACATTCTTATTTATCCGCAGTTGTGAAAGGGTGCCAATACTTTTGTCCAGCCCATTTTTGGAGGTTTGTGTGACATTATGTCGAATTTGCTTTCTTTCCTCCCTTTTTTGTTTTTTGTCCCAATACACACAAAGGGAATAAACATGTGTATAGCAAAACATGTGTTAATGCAATACGTTTCGTGAGAAATACATGATTTCCTGGAGAAATATCAAGGGTGCCAACAATTTCGGCCATGACTGTATATAATATCAAAGTTATTGCTAAAAAAAAATATATCTAGAGATAAAATGTAAAAACTGCTCTCCATAAAGTATATAGCCATAGTTAAAGACTTATCCCACTCCATTCATAAGAGTACATAAAGCCCTTCTCTGATATTTTTCTAGGTTTGCATGAACTGATATGAATTATTACAGTAAAGATAATATAAAAGGAATTTTTTTATGTTTCTTTTCTATTTTGCTACATACAAATAGTTGCCAAAGTAATACATCTGCATTAAAAAAAATATTCAATTAAAGAGCAATTTACTTAAAAAAGAGGAAAAATCACACAGTTCACTCAATTTACCTTAATATGAGTTTCCTGTGATCCAACGCAAAACATCACGCACAGACCACCTCACAAGGCCAGTAGAACGGCATTAAAAATGTACTGCCTGAAGCAGGAGCGGACTGACAACTCATGGGGCCCCCGGGCAATAGGGGATCATGGGGCCCCTGTGTCCTTGCACAAACTTAAAAAAGCCTATGAAAAAGGTACCAGGGGCATCTCATGGGGCCCTCTACTGACCCCCCGGGCAATAGGGGATCATGGGGCCCCTGTGTCCTTCCCCAAACTCAAAAAAGCCTATGAAAAAGTTACCAGGGGTATCTCATGGGGCCCCCTACTGACCCCGGGCCCTCAGGCAGTGCCCAAGTTTCCAAATGGTCAGTCCGCCCCTGGCCTGAAGTCTGTGCTGTGAATTTTTCTTTCTCTGTCTATTGTATCACCAATCTTAGCTTAACAGTATAGCATTTTTATGGCTGGAGCAGGGGCGGACTGACCATTAGGGTACCCGGGCACTGCCCGAGGGCCCGGGATCAGTAGGGGGCCCCATGAGATGTCCCTGGTACCTTTCATAGGCTTTTTTGGGTGTAGTTTGAGTGTGGGCGAGGACACAGGGGCCCCTTGATCCTCTATTGCCCGGGGGCCCCATGAGTTGTCAGTCCACCCCTGGGCTGGAGTATGAATCTGAAACTGTGCAAGCGAAAAAAAAAAAAAGCCTTAAAGATGCCTAAAAAAGTATATAAAATTACAAAATCATATAAAAATATAAAATGATAAAAAAATATAATGATAAAAATATGAAATATATTACATTTAATTCAGATGAAGCAAATTTACCTTAATATGAGTTTCCTGTGATCCAACGCAAAACAGCACGCACAGACCACCTCACAAGGCCAGTAGAACGGCATTAAGAATGTACTGCCTGAAGTCTGTGCTGTGAATTTTTCTTTCTCTGTCTATTGTATCACCAGTCTTAGCTTAACAGTATAGCATTTTTATGGCTGGAGTGTGAATCTGAAACTGTGCAAGCGAAAAAAAAAGCCTTAAAGATGCTTAAAAAAGTATATAAAATTACAAAAGAATATAAAAATCTAAAATGATAAAAAATAATGATAAAAATATGAAATATATTACATTTAATTCAGATGAAACAAAAAATAGTTAAGAATTAGTAAAAGCCTGTGTGATTGTTAAGATAACTAATAGAATAATATATCAAGTGATTAATAATTGCTTTTTATGCAGAAAAGGCAAATATATGGTATTTAGGCATTGTACTAAACTCAAATATTTTAGGGGGAAAAAATCCCTTGTTTTAAAATTAAAATGAAGAGAATAATTGTAGGCCAATGGATTCCAGATTTAAGGTATTTCTATGTAAAAGTTCTAGATATCGTCTGTTTGGTAGCGCAATGTCATTCCTAGTATCACCTTATATGTTAATTCTATTCTTCACAACTGTTTATATTCTTGTTTCTTACAACCAAGGGAATAACAACTCCTAGTAATGAGAATAAACTGACTAATTATTAGGTATTCTCTGGGGACTGTTACACGTAGACTCTCACATTGTGCTCAGGATACAAATAAAATATTGTTTTAAAAAAAATGAAATAAAAAGTATTTGGTGTAAAATTGTAAAACTGTTGGCACTATATAAATCCTGTATTATAATAATAATAATTATAATAATATAATCTAGCACGTTTATTCTTAACTCACAGTCTTAGCCTAAATGTATTTTTTTTTAATTCAGTCTCTATTATAATAAGGCAAATTAGTGTAGACTTCTTGGTCTGTAGTCCAAAAGCAGATTTTCCAAAAACAAATAAAAAATCTATCATAATTATATTTCACCCAAATGTACTCACATTCCAGGGTGTGTATGGAAATGTCTGGGCCGGCCACATTGTAGCAAACAAATTGTGAGGGGAAGTAAAGATAAAGTAGTCTTCTGAGTCATGGATATTGCCAGGCCTTTTCATACGGGCACTGGCCCAGGTCCTTTAGCAAAATGCCTGGGGTCTCAGACCAGAAGATGCTACCACGTAGAGAGAGTCAGAGTGCTAACTGTCAAGGTCCTACCTTTTCCCAGAGGTTATGCTGCTCCATGTGCTGGCATCCATCTTGGGTTTCTGCAAAGCATGGTGGGAGCCTTTTATGCTTTCAGGCCTCTGCGGTCCCTCCCCCAGAGGGGTGTGGCTGATCACATTTAAGCCTGTTGTCTGCACTTGCTCTTTGCATTCGTTTCCTGTTTGATAGTGTTGTTGCAGCTCTTATTCTACTCTCGTGGCCCTCCTGGAAACTGACTCGGCTTTGTCTAGACTATTCTCAGCCTTATCCCTTTATCTGACCTCCCGTTGCTGAACCCGGCTTGTGACCTGTGTATTCTTGTCAACCGTTCTGTACTGTCTGTCCCGCTGGTTATCGACCCCGGCCTGTCCGACTACGCTATCGTTCTTATCTGGTTCCTACCAGCTATACGCCATTGGCGGCGTCCATTACCGCAGCCGGGGTTTCTCAGGGGCCGCGACCTGGTCCCTGGCTGCGTCCCTGGAAACTGACTCGGCTTTGTCTAGACTATTCTCAGCCTTATCCCTTTATCTGACCTCCCGTTGCTGAACCCGGCTTGTGACCTGTGTATTCTTGTCAACCGTTCTGTACTGTCTGTCCTGCTGTTATCGACCCGGCCTGTCCGACTACGCTATCGTTCTTATCTGGTTCCTACCAGCTATACGCCATTGGCGGCGTCCATTACCGCAGCCGGGGTTTCTCAGGGGCCGCGACCTGGTCCCTGGCTGCGTCAAGTCCATCCCCACCATCAGGGGCCCTGGTGAAGGGCAGCCTGGGGCTTAGACTCCGCGCCCCGAGGGACTCTGGTCTGTGGGTGGTGGTTGTCGTCAGTCGGTGCGTGACCCTGCCATTAGGCCTGCCTGCCCATTCCACCGCTCCTGCCCTGACACTAACTGCTTCTTTTCTAGAAGAACTGCAAAACCTATCTCAAGCTAAAAATGAAAGGCTTTATGCCACCCTTGATTGGACAAATAAAACCATATAAAATGGTTTCATTCATTGATTTTATTGTTTTATATAGTAGAAGATTCCTCAATACTTTACTCCTCGGAGGGTCTGATTTTAAGGAATCAACATTGAGCATGGCAGACTTCCTCCATTTTTTTATCCCAAATGAATAATTTTCAGGCCTCAAGGAACCCCTGCTAAGATTAGTCCATTGGTGGCCAATGGGAAAATGCCCCTTCCATGGGTGACCAATAGTGGGAAGAATGCGCCTTACATTTGAAAAGATCTAGATAACCTCCATTTTGTTGATGTACGCCATTTTAAGTATTATGTTAGGTTTTTGCAGATATATTAGAAGTTTAATGAAACTGTTTCAGCTTGCTCAAGGTTGTATAAACAAAGATATGGTGTCCCTGAGCTTTCTGTGTCCAGCCGATTCTCAGAAAGCTAGCAGAAACAGTTTATACTAGGAAATGTATATGTTTCATGTAGTCAGCTAATGATGGAAAGTTACCTATTGCATTTTTGACACTTGCTCCCCCCCTTCCTGTTTTTCTTTGTTCCGTACTCTATATAACCTAAGTCATGTCTAATAAACTTTGAACATCTTTGAACATAAGCTGTCTGCTGTTATTCTGTGTTCATAGGGTGTTCCCAGAATTCTGCTGATAGACAGGAATCTCTCCACAGACCGGGGATCTCTGAGGGGACAAGAATAATCGATCCTTTCAACGTTGGTGGTCAGAATGTCAACCTTAAAGACACGCCTCTGGCTCTGCCAAATGGTGTTTGACTTGGAATTATGCTGGCACCTTTACATGAGAATTTGGTATGCCAAAACTCAAGAAACCCCTAACCACCTCTTGAGGAACCCTAGAGTTCCACAGAACCGTGGTTGAGGATGACTGGACCAGCAGAGCAGCCAGGCCAGCACATCATGCAGCTAACCATAACACATATTGGTAGGCTAGCTCCTGTTTCTGTAGTGGCAAAGTTTTGTTCCAGTCTCTTTTCCCCCCAACTCATGCACATGGCCTCAAGGGAGCCATGCAGCACCTCTGAAAAAAAAGTACCAAGGACCTGCAACTGTTGCTTGCAGCTGCCCATAGACAGCAATTACAAGATGTACCCGTACATTGGCACATGCTGGCATTTGCACAAAGTACGCATATGCACATGGACGTATTCCCCAAATGCAGACAGTCTGCCAGATGTTGTGGCAGGGTGGTGGCAAAAAACAGTTGGCTTATGGTTGCAGGTAGTATATATCTGGCCTTGAACTTACACTTTACTGTCAGACATAAACTCACACATTGCAGAGCCAGGTTCCTAGGAAACCAACAGACCCATTAGTATGTCTGGCTTATGTTCAGAGAACCAATATAAACACTGGTAAGCAAGGGCATTGCTAGGGATGTGAAAGATCTGGGGCACCCTTGAGCAACCTGAGTAAAGCAGTGATGCAGCGTGCTCATAGCGCCCTATGGCGAATCATGGGTGTGGCCAGATAGTGCTAATAATGGTAGGAACTTAAAGTAGTATTGTTAAATAACAGTTGGGCCTACTATGTGCAATCAAAGCATACATATGCCCAATCCCTTGCAGCCACAAAATATACTTTAATTACTGTGCCACACATCATAGTTTTGAACACATTACCCTAGACCAGGGGTGGGCAAACGTTTTGACTTGAGGGCCACAATGGGTTCATATATTGGACCCGGGGGCCGGACCAAAAGTAGATGAATGATGTGTATGTGTCATCCATAGTAAGTATAGTAATATTCCCCCATAGTAAGCATAGTAATTAATCCCCCATATAGTAATTCTTCCCCCATAGTAATTCATCCCCCATATAGTAATTCATCCCCCATATAGTAATTCATCCCCCATAGTAATTCATCCCCCATATAGTAATTCATCCCCCATAGTAATTCATCCCCCATATAGTAATTCATCCCCCATATAGTAATTCATCCCCCATATAGTAATTCATCCCCCATAGTAATTCATCCCCCATATAGTAATTCATCCCCCATAGTAATTCATCCCCCATATTAATTCATCCCTCATATAGTATTTCATCCCCCACAGTACTATTCCCCCCCCCAAGTAGTAAGCCAAGTCCCCCATGTCAATTTACTTACCTTTGCTCCGCACGTTCCTCTCGCCGTGTTCCCGCGCCGTTCCGGTCTTCAGGGCGGACTGTGAGAGGAGCCTAGCTCCCCTCACGTTCCTCACGCTGCCCCGCCTACACACATTCTGACAGCCGATGTATCACGCTCTGCGGGCCGGATTAAAAGATCCGCTGGGCCGTATACGGCCCGCGGGCCTTAGTTTGCCCATTGCTGCCCTAGACACAATCATATAAAAGAAATGAAACTCTATGTAATCAAAAGATGAACTTCAATAACAGAGTCTGGGACTACTAAGCAACCCGCAACTGTTGATATAATGAACACATTGGTCAGCTGTAGGGATGAGCCAAACGTTCCTGGGTTCGGTTCTAGGTGGGTTTGGCGAACAGTACATGAATTTGAAGTCAATGGGAACCAAATGATAAAAAACAGCAATGGCCATTTTCTAGGCTAATAGGCAAGAGAAATAAATTTCATAAGGGGCTGAGCAGAGCAGAGCACCTTGTCCCCAGGT